AATCACAGCTAGACTGCCAGAGGGCTCCTGCAGAGACAAGCGTTCATTTTTTAGAATCCGGTCATCTTTCCATTTCAACACATCTTTCCATTCCATTCTATGAATACACCATCATTTTTAAAGCCATTTCCCTACTTTGGAAGCTTCTGGTTTTTCACTGTTACAAATGATGCTGGAGTGAATTTGCTTGAAAATATATTTGTGAGCAATGCGCTGGTAAGTCTGTGTGGTAGAGTCCTGGAAATGGGATTTTGGTGGAGACTCCAAACTTAGACTCCCACTAACTGGATATAATCTACCCATTTCCTCAGAATCTCATGGACCCTGGATATTGTTGATCTTTTTAACTCTTGCAAACCTTGAAAAAAATCTCACTACTTAGTTTGAATTTCTTTGATGATTTAGTGCCAATGAGCGTCTTTCTATATGTTTACAGGACATATCTTTTTCTTCTTTTGTGCCATCACTGTTAGCATCAGAATCTTGACTGCAATGGGTTCCACTCAGTCCTGAGATCCATTTCTAACAACACCCCATTAAGTTTTTCAACTCAAGACCATATGACAGTGAGGCAAGAATTTGTTAACAATGACTGAGACAACACTCTGGAATTAGAACTCCAAAAAGTTTTCCCCTTTGGAGTTTATCTGACATCATTGTGTTTGTCAACCATGCACACCATTCACTGAGGTCCTGAGGGCAACTTCCAGACCATCCTCACTGAGCATCTATTGAGGGTCTTTCACTTGTGTGGCTAAAGGAAGAGTTTTATGTGGAGGTTTGTATTTGGGGTTGGTTTTTTTAAATTGTTTTTCAGTTGACTCATCTGCATGGCTTTTGTCTTTGCTTTGTCCCAGTCTGGCCGCATCCCTTCTGTGTGAGATGATGTCTAGCTCTGCAGTATTCTGACCTGGGAAGTCACCTTCTCAGTTTAGAGCCCTTGGTATTAAACAGTCGTAGTCAATTGCCTTTGTATGATGAGTCAATTGCATTTCATTTCAAAGTCAAGGGGCCCATACTCTGTGCTAGACTTTGGGAATACAAAAATGGATAAGACTCAGTCCCTGTTTCAGGAGAGCCTGACATCCAGTGGAGATGAAAGCCACGTAAAGGGGATTGTCATGGTCCTATGGTTAAATCATGAAAGAGTGGAACCCAGGTGCTCTGGGAGACAGGTCAGCCCTCTTGCTTCCCACTGATGACATCTCAGGCAGGTGATTTCAACTCTGTGTGCCTCAGTGTCTTCATCTGTAAAATGCAGAACATAGCTTCCCTTACTTAGTAGGATTATTATGAGGACCATGAGTTAATTCAAATAAAGGGCTTAGAACCTGTCATGTAGTAAGTGATCAATAAATGGTGGTTTTTCAAATTACTATCAGTATTATTATAATAGCACAGCAAAGGGACCTAACCCCATCTGGAGGCTACTGGAGAAGGTAATGGCAGGATAGAATCTTCAAGAGTAGAGAAAGTATATGTAGCCTTGATCTAGAGATGAAAATATCCCATTATTATCATGTACTGAGCAGTGACAATGGTCTGGACATTTAACCTTTATGACCTCATGTACAAATGAAAACACTCAGACACAGAGAGGTTATGCAACTTGCCCAAGGTTAACACAGCTAGTAATATATAGTATTTTTATTTCTTCTGTTTTATAGCTAAGAAAGGTAAAGCGTGAAGTGGTTTTAGGGGCAAGATTTAAATCCATGTCTCTCAAACTCCTAAACCCGTATTCTTCCCACTATGCTATGTTGCCATCCACGGGAGTATATGAGTCTTGTCTCATTTGGGACTTTTGAACAAAACATGGGCTTCTTCATGCTTCGGTTTTCTTCTGTCTAAAGCAGGCATCTCCACACCTCTCCTCTCTGCACACAGCCCTTCTTTCAAGCTCCAGGAGAGTCTGTGACAATGAGTGGGCTCCCTCTGCAAGATGCCTTGATTCCTTTGAAGAAAGGCAGCCAGGAAATGCGAAGTATGGTGATGGTGGCCTTTGCAAGGGTGGGTGATGAGTGGAAACTTCCTGACATTTCAAGTGACAGCATCAGAAAGGAAGTGGAATTTTCCTGAGGCACAGGCAGGAGATCTCACCAGCTATTGATTTGGGGTGTGCATCTCACATTTAACCCAGTGATTAATTTGGAAGGAGGCAGCATGCATGCTGGGCTTTCATTTAGTGAGTTTAAAAGCATACTGGCTTCTGATTTATTTTTTTCTTTATTCGTGCAGGGCTGTTTTATTGCTAAGGGTTGAATGACAGGCTTCCCAGCAGGCTGTAAAGACAGGTAAAATTTAAATAAGAAACATAAAATCTTTCAAGGCACTCTATTTATCTTTTATAATTTATTAATCACACCTAGTGAAGGCTGGTTGACCCTCTGGGAACAGTTCAGCAAAGGAAAACTATTCGGCAGCCTCAGCTTGCCAATCCCCTTGCTTTTCTTTTTCTTTTTTATGGATCAGAAAACTAAGGATCCGAAATAGGAAGTAACTTGTCCAAGTCATAATACGGGTTAGAAATGAAGTTAAGTCCTAGCCCTGCCTGGCAACCTCGGGATCACTGAAACACAAGGAATCCGTGTAGAACTCCAAATATGTTCCCAAAATGTTCAAAGTATTTTCAAAACAAATTGATGAATTAACATAAGCACTCCCTTGTCTACATCTCTTTAGTTTTTCTAAAGGACGAACTTCAGGGTGAGGCTTACAAGATCCTTTAGAGCTGGCCTCTGCTTAACAAAAAAGCTTCATCTCTGTCTTTCCTCCTTTGAACTCATCCATTTATACGGAGCATCTTTAACTTTTCCCATATAGAATATCCTTCTTACTGCTGGGTCGATGAATATGCTGTCCGTCTGCCTGGAACACTTCTCTTTGGATGGGTGGATGGATGGATGTATGAAAGAATGAACAAACAACCTAGGACCTGGGTTTATAGCTCATTTCATTAGAAGTCACTGCCTCATTAGGTGAGTGCTCGTTCAGTCAGTTCAAATTACCTCTAACCCCCAAGAATTTTAACTTCTCTAGCATGACTTTATCATTTGCCTGAGATTCTCCAATTGTAACCTTTGTGTCTGAAATGACCCACTTAATTCAGGAAGCTGCCCTACTTCCTGGGGTACAAGTCTTCCCTCTTAAAAATTCAAGAAATTCTCTCCATTTGATGCCTTACTAGGAAAATCCCCCCCATTTATAAGCACATGGATTCCAAGAAATCAAATAAAAATTTGAGAAGTTCAGAGTGAAAAAAAAAAAAGAAAAAGTATTCGTATTATGTAAGTGAGCCACATTACTTTGAAGGGTGGTACAAGCTCAAAAAGCAGGCATTTCCAAAAGGGATTGGGGATGTACAAGACATGATATAAATGTGATGGGCTGCTGAGGGGCAGGTAGAGATCACAGGGTGGGAAGGCTGGGTGAGCATGGAGAATATGTCTTGACTATGTTGTTAGCATCATGGAAAAGACAGAACCCTGAACTAAAAGGGTGGAGGGATGGGGTGCTGGGAAATTTGGGCTATAGGTACACATTTTATTGAGTACCTACTATGTGCCAAGCCCTGTTCTGGGACCTGGGTGTTTTCAGAGAAAAACGTGTGATGGAAAGAAAGTTAAGAATTCAACATCATGGAAACCTGGACTTCAATTTCAGTTCTATCACTCATTACCAGTTTGATCTTGGATGGTTTATTTGGGTCGCCTCATTTGTAAAACGTGTGTGTCCTTTTGTCCTTTCATGTTTATAAATAGCCTACTATGTGATTCAGACACTATGCTAGGCACTGGACACCCAAGAGTGAACAAGACAGATATGGTCCCTGCCCTCCCAGAAGCTTACTGAGTAAGGGAAGAGACTGACAAGTTATTAGAATAAGGTATTTGCTGTGGGACCATTAGCAGGGCTGAGATAACACTTGACATACAGGACTACTAGGATTAAATAAGATTAAGTATTTGAGAGCCCACCACACCTTTGATAAGAGCACAGGACAGGACTGGAACAAGACTGCCTGGGTTCAAATCCCAACGTGGCCACTTATTAACTATATCACTTAAGGAAGTTACTAAACCATTTTCCTCATCTATAAAATGGGGATAATGACAGTACTCAAATCATGGGGTTGTTAAGAAGATTAAATAAGTTAATATATGTAAAGAGTTTAGAACAGTATCTGGCACACACTAAATACACAGTTGATATTTATTAATTATTGTTTTTGCCATTGTTGTTTGCACATGCTGGCCCATGTGGGTGCTCACAATTGCAAGTTCCCTTCCTCTACTCCATTGCTCTTCTGAAAGTCCACGGCCCTGGCAGAGAACAGAAGTCCATGTTCATGTTCCATCATATATCAAAGACTCAGACTGGGAACTACAGAAAGGATTGTTCTCAGTATAATTTGTAATTTATTCCTGTCCAAGCAATTTGCCTTGTTGAGCCTTTGAAGAGCACAGAGTTCTTTCCTGTACTTGGCTGAACCGAGCACAAAAGGTCATGGTAAAATTAGAGCTACAGGGATGAGAGCGCCTGGAAAAGAACTTGGGCCCCAAACGGATGACAACTGGCTCCTTCCCTCGGAGCCTCATGGGAGAAAAGGCCACGTGTTGATGTTCAGCCATAAGGGGCCTTTGAGTCTCACACACTTGTGAACGATGCTTGGCTCTGCAGGTACAAGCTGTGCAATCTCCTGGGCCATGTCTACATCTTAGGATCACCGTGAGGATTATATAGAATGACTAATTTTCAAATGCCTGGCAGTCGTCCAGCCTTGTCATCAAACGATGTTCATTAAATTCTCAGAGCAAGAAGAGCTTGCTTCAGGGAGATCAGCTCAGTGCTTTGTGTCCACCTAGAGGGGTGGGATAGGGAGGGTGGGAGGGAGGCTCAGGAGGAAGGGGATATGGGGATGTATGTATATGTATGGCTGATTCACTTTGCTGTACAGCAGAAACTCGCACACCACTGTAAAGCAATTATACTCCAATAAAGATGTGAAAAAAAAAAAAAAAGAAGAGCTTGCTTCTTCTCAGCACTGAGTGGTGGTTGCGGCGGGGTTACGGTTCTGCTAGTCAAACAGCTAAACAGCTTTCCTCCTCCAGTGTCTGAAGATCTGGTCTACACCCTCCCGGGCATGCAGCCTTAGAATTAATGGTCAAGCTCCATGAAGGCAGGCACTGGTGAGTCTTGCTCTGCGTTGTGGTCCCAGATGCCCCCTGGCATGCAGCAAGAATGGAAAGAATACTTGCTGGAAGGATAAACTGTCAGGACAGGCATAGAAATGTAGCACGTTTGGAAGGAGGCTGGCGTGGTGAAGGGACTCAGCCAAGCCACTGTGCAAGGAACATCTGTGGAACTAAGGCTGCAAAACTGGAGAAGGAAGGCTGGGGAGACAGAGGTCTTGTGAAAGGTGATTGAATCAGTCAGAGTTCAGCCAGTAGGAGAGACAGATAACTGAGATAGATAGGTAACAGATGACAGATGATAGATAGATAATAGATTCATTAAAGGAAAATTAATGTTATATATATATATATATATATATATATACATATCTCAAATCATCATGTTGTACACCTAAAACCAATACAATGTTATATGCCAATTGTATCTCAATTTTTAAAAATGTTAAATAAATAAATAAAAGGGAGCTGTTTCAATGACACTTGGGAAAGTTAGGATCTGTTGTGTCAACACCAAGAAGTTCATGTGCCTGATTTTTGTCTCTTTCTTGCTTGATCTTATTAAACAATAGCACTCCAAAAAAAGAAAAAAAAAAGTGAGAAAATTTACAATCCACATTGTTACAGGAATAGCACAAGTTTGCTTTTTAACAGAATACCAACTAGGTGAGGGTAAAATCTTCTATAACCGCAAATCCCATCAATTTTTGTCTGAAAGCAAGCACAGCAAATCAAGGAGGAAGCAACTCAGTTTATTTATAGATTTAAAAACTCCAGTCATGTTTCATATATTCAATGAACTAAGGGCTTTTGATTCACGTATAGGAAGCATATGCAAACAAATTGAAGAACAGCCTTAAACTCTGAGGAAAACCTATTACATAGGGACTCATTTGTAGACCAACCCCCGAAATAAAATTTAGCAAGAAATGTACTAAGTATTCACATTTTTCTAAGCAATGCATTAATAATCGATTTTATATTATCTGTACAACAGATTAAAAAAAGAGGGAAATCTTTTAAAAGGAAATTTAGTAATTTACAATTCTTATTGTTATTACAATTGTTGTTAATGATCCTGTGTAATCTGGGGAGCTGGCTAAGCAAACATGTCCAGGTAAGCAGTCAGGAAGGGAAGACCCACAGGGAGGTGAAGCCACTGAAGACCCTGCCAGCTGTGTGGACCAGGAGAGACTTCCTGGGGAGTCAGGGTTAGAGCAGGGACTTCAGAGAAAGGTTCAGACAAACAGAGAGGATGGGGAGGACATTTCAGGTGGAGGAAATAGCAAGGCAAAGGTGCAGAGGCGGTGGGCTCCTGATATGTTCGAGGGGCGTACAGACTGTGGGAATGGGAAGGCACCAGACTTAATTCAACCCTGGGGGCTGCGCCTAGCTGATATCACACAGAGGCCGTGTGGTTTCCCTGAGCTTCAATTTCCTCCCTCGTGGACTGGATGTTATATATTATCTGCTTCATCTGCCTCTCAGGGAAGAAGATTTGGACCCAATTGAAGAAAGAAGTTCCTAACAGGTGAGAATGGGTTTCTGAGTCCTTGCTATGGGCAGGCTTATTGGGAGGGTGACCTGTGAAGACCGCTCCCATGCCCACGATTTTGTGATCCCACGAGTCAGAGATGCAGGCCCTGCTTCTGACGTTGCCCCTCACACATCAGCCTCGTTCAAATATTCAGTCAACATTTGTTGCTGGCCTGCTCTGCACCAGGCACAGTCAGGTCTGAGAGGCACTTAGATGAAATGACACTTGCATCACTTCAGTTTTAACACCCAATAAATCTCTTCCTAGGAATTGAGAAGGTGCCACCGACAGCCTTAAAATTACATCACAACAAAGACAGGACAGTTAAAACCATGTACGTCAACTTGTGGGGGGAATGCCAGATTTGTGGATCACGTGGCCTGGGGCAAAAGCTTCGACCTCACCCCTCGGGCAAACACAGTGGTGGCTACATTGCACACGTCGGTCTGTAGTGAATCAAGACCTCGAAATTCTACATGAGGATATCGAATCTCTTCAAATTGCAAAAATATTTTAGACACTCTTTCACCTCTTGAAACCCCTGCACCTATTATTGTATCCTCTTCCTGAAACCCTTACAGCCTGTTTCAGGTATATAATGCTGCATAACAAAGTGCCCCACACATAATGCTTTAAAACCACAAAAATCTTTATTTTGCCCCCAAATCTGCAATTTAGGCTGGCTGAGAGGAAACAGTTCACCTCTGCTTCACTCAGTGTCAGCTGGGTGCCATGAAGCCTGGGGGCTGGAATTAGCCAAAGGTGGGCTCCTGGGCATCTCCTTCTAGTGTGTGTGGCTTTTCCACGTGGTGTCTACAGCATGGCAGCTTCAGGGTAGCCAGACTTCTTACCAGTCAGCTCAGGGCTCCCGAGGCATGTATCCCAAGAGAGAAAGAACCAAGGAGAAGTTGTATTGCCTTTGGGTGACCTGGCCTCAGAAGTCATATGCATCGCTTCTCTGCCCTCTCTGGGTGGAAGCAGTCACAGGCTGCCACCCAGATTCAAGAGCAGGGAACACAGAACCCCCTACTTCCCCATGTGAGGCATGCCAGTCCCATTGTGAGAGGAGCACGTGGGACGGGAGATATATCATGGTGAATATATCTCTGAAAAGTATAATCTGTATCCACTCTTTTTCTGTCTGAAAAACTCGTGCTTCAAGACCCAGCTCAAATATCACCTGCTTTATAGAGCTCCCCGCCCATCCCCGCCATCTCCCTGAGGGCTAGTTACCTCCTCGATGGGGCCTAATTGCACCTGGTACATCTGCCTTCAGAGCACTTAGCACCCTGAAAGGGTGCTGTCTGTCTCTTTCTGGAGACTGTGAACGGTGAGTTCTTCAAGGTCTGGAGCTGTGACATGTATTTCAATGCTCCTAGCTTTCGGTCCTGGGGAGGTGCTTAGGAAATAGACGTTGCTACAAGCTAGATGGGGGTTCTCATACCCTGGACTACCTGCAGCAGAATGCCTGGGTGCTTAATCAAAATGCAGACTCCCAGATCTGCATCAAACCTGCTGCACTGACTCTTGGGGGCGGGGCCATAGAAGCTACATTTATTCAACTCCTTGGATGACTCCAATGGGTATCAACCTTTGCAAGCTATTGTATCCCCAATGCCTAGTACCATGCCTGGCACGTGCTTGCCACTCAATAAATACCTGCTGAATGAATAAGTGAGTGAATGAATAAATATTTTTAGACTCGACTAGGTACACAAGAGTCAGTTTGCTCTTTTGGCTAACATGACATCCAGGTCTGCCTCCAGAGTCAGATAAGCAGACATCCCTCTAGGTTAGGCCCAGGGGACTCAATGCCCCCACTGCCCCTTAAATGGGCTGGCTTCCTGGAGGAGGTGGCTGAGCCAGTAGAAGGGAGAGACTCTTGGCAGGTGTAAGGCTGGTGCATTATCTCACCCTCTACCATTAGGCTCCTTTCCCACCCCCACCTCCTGCTCATCTCCCCACCCCCAAGCATCCTGTCACATCCCAGATCAGAACCATGCTGGAAGCAGTATTTGCTCGTTTGACATTTCAAAATAGCATCGAGGAGGCTAAAGATAGCTAGGTTACAAGGGAGGTTAAACAGCTTGCCAAACGACTAGGAGCAAACTCGGTCTTCTCCGCGTCGTCCAAAGAGCGCTTTGATGTTTTCCCTGTTTGCGGGAGTAGAGTACTGGATGAAGGGGGAAGAGGATATGAGCCAGGAGCCGAATTCACAACCTCGGTGTGAATTCAGTGAATGGTAAAGGAGTGTGTATTTCAGAGGTCTAGTTAACAAACTCTGCTTTCTCTAGCTGTCTGGGACAAAAAGCCTGACATGGTAACACCCTGCTTGCTGGGCTGCCTGCATGGCCCCGGGTCTACCTATGCATCTGGTTTCCACTGGGACCAACACACCATGAGGAAACGATTTGTCCATTTGAGATAGTAAAATTTTTTAAATGTCACTAGCCTTTTACTTCCTTTTCATTTCTTCCTGGCTCGCTCCCATTTTAACTCAATTGCCCCAAGCCAGGACTACGTGACAGTGGATGTGGGAAGGTGGAGGCCAAGAGCGTGGTGACAGCGCGGAGATGCCGTGTTCTCCAGGAACCAAGTATCCACGGAGAGATCGGCGCGTCCAAATAATAATACTTCCCATTTATGGACTGTTTACTGTTTGCCAAGCGCTCTTCTAAGTTTCTTACATCCTCTATTTCATTAATTCTCACAACAGCACTATGCCTTAGGTAATATTGTGGCCTCCCTATAAACGAAGATCTGCCAGTGCTGTAGAGATGGGATTCCAATCCAGGTGCGTCTGACTCCAAAGCCGGCTCTCCTCCCAACCATGTTACAGCATCTCCCTTTACAGAGACGGACAAGGTCCATCTTCCCCCACAGGCCCTGCATTGAATCCATTCCAGAAATCACAGCAGCTTCAAAGAGCAGACGGGTGCCCCTTGCGATGGGCGGGCCACCATGGCAGAACGGTGGGGAGGGACACTCACACCCAGTGACTCAGCAGCCCAGCCCACTCGTCTGACCTTCTCCCATGTCACAGATATCTAAGGAAAGGGTCAGCCCTGCTTGCGCCCTGCAGCCCCAGGGGCAAGTGGCAACCTGAGTCACAAGAGACGGACTGAATGTCAGAGTTGAAGTGCGTGTCTCTGCCTCACCCTCTCTAAATGTGACCGCAGCTGCCCATTCAGCGGTGGCAGTGGTGTCACAGACAGAACATGTTGGCAGAGAGGCGGGCAGGGTGCCTGAGGGGGCAGGATGCTGGTCGTCTGGCTACAAAAGACGGGGCCGGGGGTGGGGGGGAGGCGGCCCAATCATGCCTGGCTTTGGTTCCAAGCTCTATAATCGGATTCAGGTGCTTCCAAAAGCTCCTGCCTCTTCCGAGCAAATTCAGTGAAGGGCAGGGGGAGGCTGTGCTAATGGTTTCCACATTGGGGGCCCTCAGCAGCGAGGCCTCTCGAGCTCAGGGGCGAGGAATCTGACCTCGCCTCCAAGTAAAGCCCTGCTCTATGGAACGCGAACGTGTTCGTTAAGCACCTCTTAGGAGCGAGGGTCTTCGGCCTTGTGGGCTGGACTCTGGGAATATGGTAATAAGCACACGCAGATGCAGCCCGCCCGGAGCTTACAGCTGGCGGGAGAGACAGAAGATGGACCAGAAAATTGCACTACAGAGTGAGGAAGCCTGCAGGCACTGCAGGAGCCAAGAGAAGGCCACCTACCCAGATTTAGGGGTTCAGGGGAAGGGTTGGTTCCCTGTGTGAGTGGCTGAGGCCGTGGACTGAAGAGGAGTGCATCAGGGAATCTGAGGGTTCCAGGAGCAGGGAAAACAGCCCATGAGAAGAACATGAGGTGGGGGAGGTGTAGGGCAGGCCAGAGAGTAGGTGCAAAGGCCCAGGGTGTGAGGGGTTAAGTTAGGAATGCGGAGTGGTTGGTAAAAACTTTCAGCAAGGGGAACGACTGAAGGATTATAAGAAGGCCAGAGATATAAGGAGATCTGTTTAGAAAGGTCAGTCTGGCCAGGATGGGACAAGCTGCGTGCAGGGGGGCCAGTGAGGAAGCAGTGGGGGTGATTCAGGGCAATGCCAGTGATGTCCCAGACTCGGGCGGAGAGGAGGGGAAGGGTACATCTAGTTATAAGGCCAAATCAACAAATTATATGGTCCTTGCCTTCAAGGAGAAAACAGTTTTAGCTGAAAAAACATTTTCTCCCTTAATTCATCCCAGCCTTATGTGACCGGAAGGGAGCTTAGGGGTCACTGAGTTCAATCTCCTTTGGCAAGAAGTCCAGTGGTTTTCAATCTGGGTTTGAACTCCTTCAGTGCGGGGAGGGAATGGTGGAATATTGGGCAGCTTGGGAAGAGTCTGGGCGGGCAGCTGGCCTGGACACAAGCTTTCTTGAAGTTTCAGAAACCCTTGGACCTGAGAGACTGTATATCCTCCTGGCAAAGCCCCTGGTTCCATGCAATGGGGCAGTTTTGAGGAGACATCTATTCTGTCAGCTGTGATGGCGCACGCTGCTGCCCTCCCCCAGAAGAGGGGGGCCGCGGAGGTTGGTTGGGGGCTGAGGCCCCTTTTCTGCCAATAGACCCACCCACAAGCGCTTGCTGAGTGACTGCCCCGTGCCCAGCCTTGTTCCTGGAAACTGCTGTGATAACACTCTTGGGTGAGAACCAACACTGGCTGACCTTTTACATGGGCAGGATCCGCAGGAAAAAGTTGTTGAAAATTTAACGACAGCAATTCCTGAGGCTCGTAAAACTCTTTTAACTTTCTCTAAGCACAGATAACAACATCTTCTCTTACCCTGAGTCAGGTTCTACAGCTCTAAAGCACTCAGTCACTCAGGGTCGTGCTTGATCCGCAGACAAGCCAGGCAGAGGCAGAGATCCTGGGCCCTAGAGCCCAGTGACCCGGACTCAAATCCTCACTCTCCCTCACATGACAGTGTGACTGTGGTCCTTGCCTTAACTCTCTGAGCTTCCTCTTCTGTAAAATAGGGATAACACACCTATTTTGAAAGGTTGCTGGAAGCATTAAATGAGAAGATACTGCCTAGCCCAGTGCTTGGGAAAGGCTCATTTCCTCTGCCTTATTTCTCTCCCATTCCTATATTCCAAACAAGGGCATATCCAAGGGTGCAAAACTAGAAGAAGTGGTGCCTGGCATACACTGTCTTAGTCAGCTCAGGCTACGATAATAAAATACCATAGACTGGATGGCTTAAATAACAGACATCTATTTCTCATGATTCTGGAGGCTTGGAAGTCTGGGTGCCTACACGGTCAGGTCTGGTGAGGACCCTCTTCCTTGCTTGAAAATGGCTGCCTTCTTGTTGTATCCTCACATGACATAGGGAGGAAGCTCTGATGTCTCCTCCTCTTCTTATAAGATCACTAATCCTATCACAAGGAGCTCCACCTTCATGACTTCATCTATACCTAATTACTTCCCGAAGACCCTACTTCCTAATGCTATTACCTTGAGGGTTAGGGCTTCAACATATGAATGTAAGGGAACACACAATTCGTCCATAACACAGTGGGTCTGAAATAAACCTTAGTTTTCCTTTTCCTCCACTTCAAGGCCCTGAACTAGGGCTATCTCTTCTCCAGCCTTCTTTTTATGCGTCCTCTTGTGCTTCCCGGCAACCCCCTGTGAGAAGGTAATGAGAGCCATGGAGCCTCTCTCCTGAAAATGCACATGTATATAAATAGGTACCATGCACACCTTCTTACCTACCCAATTTTGCTTACAGTTTTGCAGAGGTCACAGATCCCTGAAGCTCATTCATGAACTCTAATTTAAAACCTGCCAGAGCGCCCACATGACACAAAGTACCTTTTGCCACAAATTGTGGTTCAGTTTTCTAATTTCCCCAGGTGGATTATAAACTACAAGAAATGGGGGACCAGCTATTCTTGTTCAAGTCTGTATGCCATATAATGACTAGAGAGAGGTAGGTATATAGTGAATATTAATTGAATGCTTTGGTGGATAAATGGATGGATGAATGGATGGATGGATGGAAAGAAGGATGGATAGATGGATGGAAAGGTGGCTGGTGGGCATGTGGGTGGGTGTGTAGACAGATAAGATGGATAGATAATAGATAAATGGGTAGATGGATGGCGGGTGGGTGGACAGATATGTGGGTGCTTTGGGTGGGTAGATAAGTAGAGGGATGGTTGGGTGGATAGATGGGTGGATGGATAAGATGATGAGCATGTTGTCATGCTCAGAGAAGGGCCCAACCAAGCTCTCCTTGAGAAGATAAATTCATGGTGGGGGGGACCTGAATACTGGAGGACATTGAAAGCCCTGGCTAAAGAGCTCTGAATTAATTCAGTAGAGAATATAAATATAAATTCTAGAGGGATCAGAAGCAGAGGATGCATGGAGGGAACAACGTGATAGCAGGCTGGGTCTGAAGCAGGGCTTTGGGCTGGGGTGGGAGAAGAAGACCCTGAGTCAGAAAGCCAAGTAGGAAGATGGACAAGAGGTGGGGGAACCTCTGATGGAAGTACTGAATGGAAAGCAGAAGCTGCAAGACCCATTTCTAAGGCAAACTGGAGAGAAGGCAGGACCCAGTAGGGAAGGGAGAGGGCTGAATGGAGACACAAGAATTCATCGTCCGTCTGTGAAATTCTCTGAGCCATTCATTCAACGATCGTTTGTTGAGCCCCTCCTGTGTGCCAGGTTGTTGTAGGCACTGAGGAGAAGTCCCAGTCTTTGC